GTTTGGGGACTCAATAACAAAACTCGAACCACACTTAGTTCTCTATATATTCGATAGCTCTTTGTTTCTTGGTTCATCAGTTGTCGTATCAAATTCGTTAATTTGTGACTAAATATAAACTTTTTAATTTGTATTGCAGAGACCTCCAGTGGTAGGTATATTGACACGGCATGACTTCATGCCGGAACATATACTAGGCCTGCATCCCTCCCAGTCTCGGAGCAGGTGGAAAAGGCTTCGGATTCGACTGCCTTTCCTCTCATGAAGTATTAAGCTGCCTACCAAGTTTCAGGTATGAAAGTTCATATGAACTCTGTATAGTTTATTGAACGCAGCCTAGTGGTGCTATGTCGAGCTCTACAATTTGCAAATGCTTTATGGTAATTGTTCGACTTTGTATATGAATTAACACTTCTTCTATTGTTAGATACAGAAGATGTAGAGAGATTTATAAATGTTGCCTCCGCGTCAGCTTTTGTTGGTTCTTTTCAATTTATATCGGTTCTTCTATCTTTCGACATTCTTCAATTTCACGGGCCAAGGGGACGAAATACAAATTTAGACTCCATTAATGCAATTTTCGTAATGCGTAGGGCCACAGACACACTTACAATTACATCAACAATAGACTCAACAAAGCAATGAACTCCGCTCTCATTAATCTCATATCATCTCCACACATTTTGAGAACAATCAATGGAAAAAAACAAACTTCTAACTACTAAGATTGTAGAAGAAAATCCCAATTGTTATATCACTCGAAAACTATGACAACTTTTACTGGTTGTTGATATACAGTTTTCTAATTACCCTTCTAAGTTCTAAACATAACTATGCATTCTCTCTCCATTAGTTCTCTACATTTTTAATAAGAAGTGAGTTGGCTGCTTTTAAACACTAAAGTTAGATTTACTTTATCGTTCTAAACAGCAAAGTTAGATTTACTTTATCTTTCTAATCTACTCATATTCTACCAAGATTACTGAATTAAAATATTCCAACCAAACAAAGTTGAGAATAAAAATGAGCTCTGCGTTTTTCAATAAGGAACCAAAGTTTACAAAATGGAAAAGTTAAATTCCATTCATTCAAAAAAAAAAAAAAAGTTTAATTCCCTACCACTATATGTTTCACAGCCTCGAACATTATTCCATAAAAAGATCGACAATAGTAATTTTTCTGAGTGGAACAATAGATAATTTAATGGATATTTCTTACCTAACACTAGTATACAATGAATTCTCTTTAATATTACTCGTGGGGTTTAAATTTTCCATATAAAGAAAACTTCACGTGAATCCCTTTCGGTCTTTGGTCCCCATCATTTCCTTTTCACATATGCCAGTATGATGTATTTTTAAATGTTTGTAAATTATCAAAAAAGGGCCAAAACAATGTTTCATATGATATATATTTACTAGTAGGTGAATATCTACAAAACACACGGGATGTTCTCTGTGACCAAACCAATTTCCTTGTACGTTTCTATTTTCTTTATTATAGCTACATGTTTGAAATAAGACTGATTCTGTTTGTTACCTTTTATGAAACAAAAACTTGTAAGTTGTAACACCTTTGGGGATGTTAATATTATTGGTACACTTGTAAAAAAAGTCTCAAATCCGTATAAAAGACGAAGCTCATTCGAAGTGGAAAGCTCACTCGCATTTGATCGTGAGAAGCCAAACGTCCGAGTTTGTCACTTGCCAGCGTATCATCTCCTCGGTACATTCTGTTAGCTTGAGAGATTCAAATGTTTAATACGAAATGAGGAAACTAGGCGTTTAGTGTGAGAAAAATGTCTGAAATCGAGTATAAGAGTAACACAATCTCTTGACATACATGATACATAACTCACATCAGACTTAAAAGAAGAGAGGAGGTGCATGCATGCATTGAGGAAAAAGATATCCAGCACAATTTTTTCTGACCAAACGATATTTAACATCTGTGGATGTCGGATTCACACACTCAAGTATTTATTTATTTAGTGAGAAAGATTATTCTTGAGGACAAAAACTGATGTGCAAAAAGCTTATCAATTGGAATGAAAATGGCTATAACGTATTTGCTGGAGAAATTGCGTGTGTCTTTACATGGCACTTGGCTCTCTTACTTATACTCGTAAATTACACATTTAATTCCTAATTACATATGATTATTTCCTCTTAAATGTATCCGTTACGGTCTTCGAATTTATTGCTCGAACGTTTGAATTTTGAATTGATTCCGATCTTCATGGGCTTCGCCTTTTAGCCCAGAAAACCTCGAACCGAAACTATCCTTGACTTCGACTTTGCCTCCACTTCGCGGTTTGATCACTTCGCCCATATCCTTTCCCTTGACTTGTGGATCTCTTGGGCCTTATCCCTTGTGGGCTTCCCTTCTACCTGCGTGGCAACCTTTGGTTGGTCCCGGATTGCTGGTGCGGGATCCGACACCAACAACATCTACCCAGGCTCTCCTACTCCAAATGGTTTCTTGTATTTGAACTATGCATAAAAAGTTAATAAAACAAGTCTCATTCAAATTCTACTTTTGATTTTCAATTTAAATTTGAGTTTCCTATGGAGATCTTAACATGTTACTTTTTTCCACGTTGTTTGATTTTAACCCCGGATTTCGCATGCACGCTTTCTATTTTTAGATATCAACACAGTTACTTTTAAGTCTTTAACATCATCAGTACTTTGAAAACGCTAAAAATATCAAATTTAGTGTAATGAACTAGTGCTTACATACATGACCAAAAATGTGCAAGTAAATTACCTCTGTTAATGTGAAGTTAGTATTGAAGCAAGGTTACATTAATGAATTTCAATATACAGTATTGTTTATTGATTTGCATATAAGTAAACAACTTAGGGAAAAACATATACAAATAACATAGATTTTACGAATGTTGTAAACAAATATTATGTTATTTCATTCGATAACATTATTTTACATTTTTCTAATCATGCGTGAATTTCACTTATTTACAGCCATATTTGTTACAAGATTTGGTTCTCTGTATTTATATATTATTATCTAGCAGGAAAAGACTTAAAATTAAGTTGGTTGGGGTGTCACATTGATAACAGACTAGCAGTAAACGGAGATGACTCAGGTCAATATATATTTTAAAAACAAATACAGCAGTTATCAGTTTAATTAACGCATTTATTGTAGAATTATAGACCTTTTGTCTAATTGACGTCAAAAAGATAAACAAACTTTGTGTCAAAAACTTATTTGTCCCACAATATACTGAATCAAGTTAACTGCTATTTAAAAAAAAAAAATGCACTAGTGTTAATTAGGATTATATAAATATCCAAATATTAAAGAAAATTCTATGGGGAGTTAAAATTATATCTTCTTATAATTAAAAGGGAAGTACAACATAGAAATTGTCCAAAATTATTTTAGTTATTATGAAAATTGCCATTCAATTGTGGCATTAAGAGTCAGTTATAAGAAATTGAAAACGAAAATTGAAATTATATAATTTTCTTACATGTTGGTCTAATAGTATATTATAAGTAATGGGAAGATATAAAATAGCAGTAAATTAATAAAAAAAAATTATTTATTGAAAAAATATAATGTTAAAAAAATAGGTCTCTTTTTATTTTTAGGTTTTAATTAGAACGACGTCGTTTTGTGGTTTAACAGAGTATTTAAATGGATAATTTAATTCTATTAATTTTTTCCGTTAAACAACTTAACCACATATGATTTATTTTGCAAAGTTAACAAAATTTAACGATTAAAATGAGAAGTTAATAAAGTTAACGATTAAAATAAAAAATTATAAAAGTTAGCGAATTATTTTACGAAAGCAGAGTAAAATTTGTTTTAGGTGTTCTTAAAAAATTGAAGATTTTTTTGACATTTTTTCCATTTTAAATTATCATTTGGAGACGATGACTCCACAAGTAGAATCGTATCCTGCACTAGTGGATCTTATTCTCTTGTACTCTTTGACCAATAAAACATTTCTCATATACTCCTCAATGGTAGAAAGAGAATAAGATCTGCTCTAGTATGGAGGAAGAGAGAGTTTCAAGTTCAAAACTAATTAATCTGTTGTAACCTTCCGCCTGAAGAGATTATGGGCCTGATGCTTTAGCGTAATTACGTATCTAGTCCAAAACTTTTTTTTTTTCCCAATCCAAAACTTCTTTGGATACAAAAGAATAATAATCAAATTGTCATTAATAACTTAACTGATCATTTTTTCCTCTTGGCAAAAAAAATTCTTTACTTTGTCTAATACATCTAAAAAAAATTAACACCAATACATAGTCGAAAAATATATAGTAGAAACTTTTTTTTTTGGTAGTAATATATAGCAGTAACTTGATGCAAACGTATGGGGTTCAGCTTTATGTACAAAAAAATAATATATACAAATATCTAAATTTTAGTAAACGTGACAAAAAGAAAAAGGGTTGTAAAAACGCATTATTTGTAAGATTTATTATAAATGAACAAATATCAAAGGAAGAAAAAGAAGAAAAAAGAGAACAAGTTGCTTGGTGAACTAAAACTCATTTCTTCCACTAATGATATGATAGAGACACAACAAAGAATCTTTCATGACTTTTCTTCTTTTCTCCTCACTTCCAAAATTCTCTTCTGTCTTCCTCTTAAGAGTCAAGAATCAAAAAAAGCAACCCAAAGAAAAAAAATAACATAGCCATGGCTGCTCCAAGATCAAGAAGATGCTCTCTTTCTCTCTTAACCCTTTTCTCCATCTCTCTTATTCTTATTTCTGTTTCACTCTTTGTCTCCACAAAACCAACTAATAATAAGCCCTTAATTGATTACAGAAACCAATTCTCTGTTTCTATCTCTTCTCATCCTTCTCCATCTCCTCTTGAACAGAACACAACAAACACTAGTCTTGTTTTAGCATCTCCTCCTTTGTCTCTTTTTAGTCAGAGCAACACAACAAACACTAGTCTGGTCTCAGCCTCTTCTCCTTTGTCTCGTCTCGGACAAAACAATACAACAAACACTACTCTTGCTTCTTCTTCCCCTTTTTCTGATCACCAAAACCAAAATAAGTTTCCAAGTCCTACAAGTAAAAAAGTTGTAATTAAGGTACGTAATCATTCTTCTTTGTTTGCAATGTTAGAACGTTTTTCCGATGCTAATAATACATGTTTTTCTTGTAGTGCTTTTTGCTATGATCAAAACCCTTTTTTTCTAATATTCATTACTTTTATTTTTTTGCTATGATCAGAAAAGAATTGGGTTGGATAAAATAGAATCAGATTTAGCAAAAGCAAGAGCAGCAATTAAGAAGGCAGCTTCTACACAAAATTATGTCAGCTCTCTCTACAAAAACCCAGCCGCCTTTCATCAGTTGAGTTTTGCAATTCTTTTTTTTTATAAAGTTTTTAACCATAGATAATGAAAAAAAAAATCATCTTTTTTAAAAAACTTGGTAATTTAATACTAGTACAGTTTTGACAGTACTTAGATTTTTAGTCAAAGATGATACCGCTGACAATTTTCACATGGATTTTGCTTCTTTATTTTTCAAACTATTTGACATCGATTTTATCAAAGAACTCAGCATTTAAGTACGGTTACTATAAAGACAAAAAATAATTACGCAACCTTACCAAATTCCAATACACAGTTTAACGGCTCCGGTGAGATGCCTCTTTCTAGGCAAAAGCTTCTATTTTTTTTTCTGTTTTTCAATTCATAGTATTGCAATTGAACTTTTAAGGTTTTTTAATGGTTTTTTTTTTTTAACATAAGCTCATTAGTTAGAAAGCTAACATGAAAAAGTTTTTAATTATTAACTATGCGTGCAAAAAAACATATTTAAAGGAAAGCTTTTGAACTTTTCGTTAGATTTCATCTTTTTTTTTAATCAAGAATTATAAATTAATTCTATAAAATTGAAATATTGAGATGTTGGTTGTTATAGTATTTCCATTGGATACTTCTAAGATGAGTTTCTTAACATTGGAAAAACAGAAGTATTATTATTTCATTATATGGGTTTCTTGAATTGTGAAGTTTTTGGGCGAGTTTAATATACCGACATAACTTCTTAATATTATTTTTTTATTAATTTTTAATATGAGAAATCTATGCTCTTAGATCCAAGATTATGCAATTCTTTAAAAACAAGTAGGATATAGAATATGAGATACATCATTGATCTTATAACTTTCTCAACGCTTTTGAAGTTATAACCTTAACTATGCTAAACTTTTGTAAATAAAGAAAGGTTCGCTTTACAGTTTTTTTGAAAAAGGCAGTGAGCTAGTGATACATAAGTATTACTTTTTTTCCTAAACATTCTTTAATATATGTATTAACATTAAAATACTCAAATAAATAAAGAATCAAAAGAGTCATAAACATTGATTGAAAGACTACGAAATTTTTTTTTATCCAATCTCAAAATCTCTTTAAAATCAACATGAAGAACCAAATTTTGGAAATATGCGTTATAAACTTTTCAAATCTATGAATTTCTTTTTTTTTTGTAAAACGAGTTTTCTTAGGACATGTCACCAACCACTTCAAGATTTACTTATACACGAATTCCATTTGCTTTGATGCAAAATCAATTAATTTCTTCACACGGGGTAGTTCTCTTACACCCTTCAATATATGCTATGATAATTATTATTATTGTTTTTGTATTTCTTTGATAATTATAATAGGTTTAGGAGATTGTGCATATACATTATACGGTTTTGTAGTCGTGTGGATTATCTCATTAAATGATAGAGACCAACATTTCAAAAATATCGTTTAATAGATTATGAAATAAACATTGATGTCACACTCGTGTATGCACAAAAAATCAGGAGTCACACGGAGATGATGAATCGTTTTAAGGTGTGGACATACACAGAGGGAGAGGTCCCACTGTTCCATGACGGCCCTGTGAATGACATTTACGGTATAGAAGGACAGTTCATGGACGAAATGTGCGTGGAAGGACCGAAGAGTAGAAGCCGTTTTCGGGCGGATCGCCCTGAGGATGCTCACGTTTTTTTCATACCATTTAGTGTCGCAAAGGTCATCCACTTCGTCTACAAGCCCATCACCTCTGTCGAAGGATTTTCGCGGGCTCGCCTACACCGTCTTATAGAGGATTATGTTGATGTAGTTTCTACTAAGCATCCATATTGGAACAGAAGCCAAGGTGGCGACCATTTCATGGTATCATGCCATGACTGGGTACGTACTCTCTTTTTTTCTTTTTAATGGTTGAGAGTATGATTAATATTAGACATCTTTAATTAATATATTGATTAGTTTGTGTTAGTAAACAAAATTGTTTTGGCTTGAATGCAAATGAGCAAAGACCTCCTTGATATTACAAATTGCTAAAAACAAAAGAAATGTAGTGTTGATAAAGCTAACACTAATTAATAAGCTACGAACCTTAATGTTATTAATCTGATTGATATCTTATCAAGAAACTATTATCTATTTTCATTATTTCATTGATATGATTACAATTCTTGTGCGTATAGGCACCCGACGTGATCGATGGGAACCCAAAGTTGTTTGAAAAATTCATAAGGGGTCTTTGCAATGCTAACACATCGGAAGGATTCCGGCCTAACGTGGACGTATCCATTCCGGAGATATACCTTCCTAAAGGTAAATTGGGTCCGTCTTTTCTCGGAAAATCACCGAGAATTCGATCTATACTCGCATTTTTTGCTGGAAGAAGTCACGGTGAAATCCGCAAAATATTATTTAAACATTGGAAAGAAATGGACAATGAAGTCCAAGTCTATGACCATCTTCCCCCAGGAAAAGACTATACAAAAACTATGGGAATGAGTAAGTTTTGTCTGTGTCCGAGTGGTTGGGAGGTCGCTAGCCCAAGAGAGGTCGAGGCGATATATGCTGGTTGTGTACCGGTGATCATATCGGATAATTATTCATTACCATTCAGTGATGTGCTTAATTGGGATTCCTTCTCCATACAAATCCCTGTTTCTAGGATACCAGAGATCAAAACCATTCTACAGAGTGTTTCTCTCGTAAGATACTTGAAGATGTATAAGAGAGTCTTAGAAGTGAAGCAACATTTCGTGTTGAATCGTCCAGCTAAACCCTACGATGTGATGCATATGATGCTTCACTCTATCTGGTTAAGACGACTTAATCTTAGGCTTGGGGCATAGTATATAATTTTTTTGTTATTACAAATAAATCTTAAGTGTCAAAGTTCATATGAGTTACGTACTAGCTTTGTATTCTTTCCATAAATTTTCATAGTTCTTGTAAAAATATATACAACAACAAACACAATATCAAAGATTTTCATATTAATAAGAGAAACAAAGCATTTGTTATTCTTGTTATACTTGTTCTTTCTTTTTTTTTTCTTAGTTATTGTATTCCATTATGAACTACTTTTCGAAAAAGTTATCAATAGATCGATCGATATATACAAAATTTTGTGAAAAGTTTTTTTTTGCTAATCGATGTAACCCGATTTTCATTATCTAGGCGCATTCTCTTAAGATTTTACTCATTTTCGTCATCTGTAACGTCTCTAGGAAGTAAATTGTGTTAAACTCCAGATCTTCATCTCATTTAAGATCCTATGACCAGGAAGGAAACATTTGGATCAAAACAAGTAAAAAGAAGTAAACCAATATGCGTGACAGGACCAGCCAAGTCGAGAAGAGATCGGCCGATTCCTTAATCCCATCCGATATGGAGACGTGCCAGAAAACGAGTTTTTTTTTTGTAATATATGATATATCTGACAAGTTTTGAACACTTCTATAGATTTAATTGATAGAGGAACTGAGGAAGCACCGTAAAGATCAATTGAAAAGGTTTTTAAACAAACTTTCAGCCTACTAAAACTCCTACTCATTCTTCTTGATCTAGACATTTTTGTAGCTCTTTGAAAAGATTGATGAACATTCTCTACGTAAAGAAATTCATAACATTCTCTTCCTATTTTAAGAAACCTACCATGATCTCTCTTACTTCTATTAGCATCTATGTTTTTTTTTTAAAAAAAAATTTCTAACCATGTGTGAGTAGTGTAATCTTTGGGTCTGAGTTATATCAAAGAATTTCCCTAAAATATGTGGTTCAATCAATGTTGTTACATATTTGATTTTCTTGGTTAGATCGTTCATAAATTCCACGATCATTGCTTTTCATTTACTTGATCACTAAGGTAAGGTTTTAAATACTTTCTTTCATACACCAAAAGTGTTCGATGATAATTTCTAACCATATGAAAATTCCATCTTCAACCATTAAAAGTTAAATTGAGGAGTTTGTACGTGATAATGATATAACCTTCATCTTTTTTTTTCCTTTCTGGTCATTATCTAACAAGTGGTAGTTTAGTCAATATAATGTCTATTTAGTTAACTTGGAACGCTAGAGATACTTGGTCATATGCTATTGTCTTGCTTAGGAATGAACAATTAAATCTTAGAATGCAATTGTTAGGAAATTGGATTAGATTTGCATTCTGACCTAGACCCGAAGTGGTTTTAGAAACCTTAATTTGCCATGTTTGTATTATTCGATAACTAGGTGCTTACTAGGTTCTTGAATTTGCTTGCTTTTACTTGTTACTTCCTTTGTTCATTAGTATCTTTGTTGGTTTAGATTGATGGCTTTCATATGATTTTTTACAAAGTGTTTTTTTCTTTCTTTCTTGAACTTCAAAAAACAAACCAAATCTATTATCATCTTCTACCTCAAGTAGCCAAATATTCCCAAAACCAACAGATGCATAGCCAAATGTCAACACCTTTTAGATAATATGTTGCAGCGGTTTTGGTGAGAAAAAAAAAAAACGTTTCTCTGTTTACATTCATATCCTTTTATCATTTTCATTATTTCTTAGCAACCCGTTTCTGCACTTTCCTCAACTTACCAACTTTTACAGCTTCCTGTAAATCCCAAAATTAAAATTAAAATTAAAACCAAATAATATGTATGATGGTTCGTCATAAATTAGTGGTTGCAGAAGAAGAAACTTACTTGTATATTCCCTATGTCACGTAATGGTTGTTTGTTTGCGCCTTTGTCGTCATGGCTAATTCCAGCAGGCTTCTTACCATCTACTGGTTCCATTGGTTTGTCGGGTTTTACAGTTTCTTCTCTATTGCTACATTTAGATGCTAAGCAGCCACAAGAGTCCCCACATCCACTTCCATTTGCCTTGCATTTGCAACTTTTGGTCTTGCACAAAGATTTTTTAGTGCAAGAGCAACATACCTCTGCTTTGCTCTGTTCCTTTTTGCAAAGAATTTCCTCAGAAGTTTCCAGTTGAGATGGCTCCGAGTTTGATTGATCATCGATATTCTTGCTGGTAATGGAGTGTTCAGCTGGTTCGCCCTGATGAACAATTGGAACAGAAAAATCAGACCACAAACAACAAAAAGTTGGGTTTGGTTATTAAGGTAAAAAATTAAACATTGAATTACAGATTGGTAACCTGAACTTTATCTGTTTCACTGAATTGGGATTTGGTCATTTCCATCTGGCTGACCAGAGTACTCAGTTTGTTAAATTCCTCTTTGAGTTCCTTTAGTTCTGAGTCTATTGGAGTGTGGTTGATTTGGTTGTCACAAGACGCAGAGCTAATAAGAGAAGCAAAGATAACCAATCACCAAAGAGAACACAATTTGAGGCTACAACAAAAGTTTAGCCACGATCAAACTTACCATGAGCTTTGATCTCCCTCAAATTCTGCCTTCAACACACTTGCCTCTAAGCTGAACCTTTTGATCTCTTCAGCCATTCTGATGAAAATAGTAAAGAATACATAATTTCATACTACTGAAGTAATATAGTTGCAATAACAAAAAGAAAGGGATATAAAACCCCCACAATTTTTCTTTTGAAAGCTTACTCTTTCATTTGGCGTTCGTAATCAGAATGAATCTTATTCAACTTCATTAGTAGCCCTGATTCATTGCTAGACTCCTGCACAACCAGAATCAGAAACCATTTGGAGTTCCGACTTATAGAAATCAATACAACGCCACATATATCATCCAACAACCAGAATCTGTATCTTTGTCAAGAAGTGTAACCTATACTAAAGATCCCAAATAAAGGTTCCAAAACAATAGTGCAGTTAAGAGCTTATGCAAGACTTAACCAATTGCTTAAACTCTTATTGAAACTAAGATGTTACATTGATGTTTAGGCTCAGGTATCCATACCTGAATCCCAGAGCTTGTTCCTTTTGATGGGCCTGGAAAAATACAAAGAAGACAGTTAGACAATTTAGCAAAAGAAACACGGAAAAAAAACGGATACTAGCTATCTGTTATGTGACCTTTATTTTTGTTGGAAGAAATCTTTTTAGATTGAAGCAGCATTTTTAGGCGCTTCAGGGCTGTCAAAGCTTGTGTATTCTTCAGCTGCAAAATCTGAGTAAAAGAATATAGAAATTAACAAGCCACATGGTAAACCACGGTTGCTGAGATATACATGTAGCATAGTACAAGAAGCAGAATATATACCAGCTTCTGGCGATTGTTCAAAGCTGACAGGACATGTTTCTCAAACTCGCTTTTCCTTAGCTCTTTTTTGAGCTGTTATAAGAGAAGAACAATTTAGTTAAGAGAAGCACTAGGACTAACTATATTAAAGAGCAATATAAAAGACAAGCACAATTGTCGACCAAACCCATCAAGAAAGGATGTATCCAAATGATCTTGGCATACAATTCTCAAAAATCAAACTACCAGAACTAGGACACCGCTGTGTAGTACTGGTATATATAGAAAACCAAATGTGCAACAAACATTTCAAATTCAAATTCCAACTAAGATCATGTAACGATCCTAGAAAAGTGAAAATCAAGTAAGGCAGGTGACCAGATTATCAACTATCAATCATGTTCATCTAGACATGACCTCATTATGATGTAACCCGAAGCAGGAATCTACTACTTCATGATTTGACATTCAATCGTATACCATAGAAAATGTAACCACATTAGACTTGCTACTCTCTTTACCTGAAGAACTTCCTTTTCTAGTGAAGCTTTCAATAGTCTGAAATGCATAGAGTCTAGCTTGATCTTGCAGTGCAACTTAACCTGAAGAATAGTCACAAATTCACAAAAGTAAGAACCCAAAGAAACTACTTTATTTTACATGGAACTTAACATTATACTTTACCTTTTGCGCCTTCAATTTCTGAACTTCGCTATCAAACTGCTTAACAGAACTCTCAGTTTTATACTTCTTTGTCGAGCACATAGACCGCAAATTTGACTTACTCCTTGAACTCATACCCTACACAAGTATCAAGGTCAAAAATATGCATAGTATAGCATATATGTGCCTGTTTAAAATTGAATCCTGAAAAATAATTCACCTCCTCTTTGTTAGCAATAAACTTCTGAGAAAACTCTCTACTTGACTGTAACGTACCGACCGATGAGCTTATGGAAACATCAGCCAATTTTGACCTTAGCTCTTCCACATCACACTGCCAAAACCCGAAACAATCATTTCAACATGAAACAATACACAATAAGTTCTGGAGAATGAATCTAGACATCTTATCAACATGACTAATCAATAGATAATCTAATGCCATTATCAGCACGAATTGAACAATTTCAAACTTCTCTAAAAAATTTTTCTGCAAATTGGAAACTGAAGCGACGAATACCATCCATGAATTGGATTCTAAGCGAAATTTTCGAGCAAATATCTTCCAAAAGTGCGAAATCAAAGCGAAAATCGCTGTTCAAAAAGAAGCGATTCTAGATTTGAAAATTCAAAAGTAAAAATGGGGGGAAACCTTGAGGGCTTCGTTGACGGACTCCAGATCCCGAATCTTCTTCTCGTAGAGTATCTCGGAATCGTGTCTCGGAGATGAATCCTTTGATCGGAGATTCATCTTCTTCTTCGTCATCTCCGGCGATGAGTTTCTTCTACTTTCTCGATGCGAGTGAGAGAGACAACAACGCTCCTTCTCTCTCTCTCTTTCCTAATTGGTGGAATTGTGGAAAGGTGCGGAGAGAGGACGTATTTGAATTTAACAATTTTTATTTTGGATTATGGGCCTAAAATAATGAAAGCCCATCTAATTTTTAATGCTTAAGGCCCAGCATTCTTACATGCAAATCAAAGTCTAAAATTTATTCTTTTTCTTCAATTCTCTTGTTTGTTTGCCAATACCATCATCAGAATTCTTTTAACAAAACACGAGGACTATCTTTAAAAGTTAACGACCTTATAGATAGTCGGACGAACTTTTGGAATATTGATCTCTT